AATAAACTGAAACTTGCTGAATTTCTGTTCGGGAGCGAGGGGATGTCCTGGCCCGGGAAGGTGCTTTCTAGCCAGCCTCTGTCTACTGGCTGCCTGGCCCATCTCCATTCCAGCCTATTTGTCCTTCAACTGAACCCTAAGGACTAAGTGTTTGAGAGGGCTGGGCTCGGGGCAGGTCACCAAGGCCCAGGAGCAGCAAGATGTGGGGAATTATTGTTTCCCTTACATAGTCTGTGAGAAGTTTGTGCCTTCAGAAGTGAGGCGCTGGGAACATCGCCATAGTCCTAAACTGGTTCCATAATGAGTAAATAGTTCTAACTGAAATTTCCTCCTTTGGAATAAATGATTGGGAATTTTAACTATTTTGGTTTCATATTTTGAAGAGCCCCTGGGGCAGTTGGTAATGCTGATTTCAACACAAAGTGTATGAATAAAGAAAAATGATGTGGGGTAGAAGCATATAAAGCATATAAGCATAAAAACATATAAAGGAAAGCATGAAGTCAACTACTTGTAATTATAAATAATCACTAGCTCTTAAATAGAACGTCAACTATGGGTAACTTTAAAGACAATCTTAAAAGGTTTTTGAGCTCATGGTTTCACAAAATTATATTTTAAACAAACCCAAATAAAGTTTTTTTTTATAATATGATGCTCTATATACTAACATTATGTACCTGATTAAACCTTACTCCATCTGTAAACTGAATTTACGGCCCAAATAAGTTAAGACAAATGTCCACATTGAGCCCATCCAATTCGCTTCTTGAATGAAGTAGAGAGTTAAATGCATGACGGAATTTCACACCAAGGAAATAAAATTCCCTGTTAACCTTTTCCTTAGAGGAGAGCGTTAGATCAACTGACACTTTCTGATTATTACATTGAAAGTTATATTATTGAAAATCATGGCCTAAATCTGTATTCCTTTTTTTGTGGAAAGTAATGAGGTACAAAGCTCAAAAAAGCCCTTCAACGGGCTTGCCTTCAGTTGGTTTTTACTTCTTGGGGCCCCCTTGGGGCGGGTTGGATTTGCCCTTTTGGGGTTCCTTTTTCTTGGCGCACAAAGCCTAGAAAAATGGGTCCGTTTCCATACATACTTGTTACTAACGAAGAAGCAGACGGCACTGAACTATTGTGGCTGGTGGTCACTGCAGATGTTGCGATCTTCGATGTGGTCTGTGAAACGCTTGTTGTTTGAGGGGTGGGCTTTGTGCTGGCAGGAGTCACCCTCGCTGGCGTCTTAGCCGGCACCGTCGAATTCGTGGCACTGACATTGCTTGAGGTCGAGGAAATGGTCACCTTGCTTGTGGTCGAGGAAACTGTAGTTGTTGATGGGCTTGCAGAGCCGTTGGAAGATGGGATTCCTAGGTTGGCAACCACAGGGGTGTCTGGTCCTGCAAGAAAGTCACACATTAAAGTTGGAGTGATGACAGGTAAGCACTTCATTGTGATTTTCATGATCTTTCTCACACACACCAAGCAATCTAACAAGTACAGCAGCATGAAAAAGATTCCACTATTACTCTGTACTACATAGCAATCAAATGTCCCACACACAAAAGAGGAAACTGCCTAGATTTACATGAAGTTAGGAGTTTTGGGGCTCCAGAGGCATAGTGGTTAAGAGTTGGGCTGTGGCCCACAAGGTCAGCAGTTTGAAACCACCAGCTGTCTGTGGGAGAAAGACCTTTCTACTCCTCTCAAGAGTCACAGTGCCGGAAACTCACGTAGCAGTTGTACTCTGTCATGCAGGGTCTCGATCAGCTGGCCTGGGCTCCATGGCAGTGAGTTTGTTTGTTTTTTTGGTTATTATACAGTTAAAATTCGTCACAAAAGCAACCACACTCAACACAATAGGAGGTGAAACATCATAGTGTAATACAGCTAGTTTCATACTGCCAATAATAATTTTCCTGTGGAAAGGGT